ATGGCTAGCCAGTCTCAGATCAACCCTAGAAACTTGGGGGTTGTCTTTCCAGCACCAATACGTTAAGGATCGACCAAATCCAGCAACAGTGTTGAAAAGTAGACTTAAGAGTTTGACCTGTGTCATTGCCAACAAAGGGTATATAACAAAGTATTGAGAAACTTTTGTTATTAACCAAATACTTATTTTCCACCATCATTTGCAAATAAATTCATAAAAAATCCTACAATGTGATTTTCTGGAAAAAAAAATCTCATTTTGTCTGTCATAGTTGACGTGTACCTATGATGAAAATTACAGGCCTCTCATCTTTTTAAGTGGGAGAACTTGCACAATTGGTGGCTGACTAAATACTTTTTTCCCTCACTGTAATAAAGCTCAGGAAATAAAAAAAAGCATTTTATTTACAAAACTACCTCCATACTTCCATTCATTATTTAAACCAGTACCGGGTTACCTTCAGACAGTCCTGTGACACTTGTGGCCGTGAGAGTCTCATCTTTCCATAGAGTGGTCATATTAATTTGTAGGCCAAACCATTCGGATGCCACAGCCGATGTCTCATGATCTGACAAACACTGCTAGGCACCTTCCACCACAGATTCGGAAGGCCAACATAGGCGGATGTGGTGGATTGAGATGCAGCCCATGCAAAAAATATATCTCTAGGGCCTCCCTAGTGGGGGCCAGCGGTCTAAGGCACTGCATCGCAGTGCTAGAGGCGTCACTACAGACCCGGGTTCGATCCTGGGCTGTATCACAACTGGCCTTGATCGGGAGTCCAATAATTGGCCCAGTGTCATCCGGGTTAGGGGAGGGTTTGGCCAGGGGGGCTTTACTTGGCTCATCGCGCTTTAGCGACTCCTTGTGGGGGGCCGGACGCTTGTAGGCTGACCTCAGTCTTCAGGTGAACGGTGTTTCCTCCAACACATTGGTGCGGCTGGCTTCCAGGTTAAGCGGGAGGGTGTTAAGAAGCGCGGTTTGGCGGGTCATGTTTTGGAGCCCGTTGGGGAATTGCAGTGATGAGACAAGATCAAAATTGGGGAGAAAAAGGGGGGTAAAATACAACAACAAACATAGATATATATATATCTAGTTTAAATTGATGGATTTTGATGGTGATGTTTTTATTATGTTGCTAAAATTGACGTATGGGTGCGTCAATAGACTCTTATTAATAATATAAATACAAATTAATATAAGTTTAATGGAGTTTAATTATCAGAAATTCCAGAATGCTCAAAATTGAAGTTTGATTAAAAAAGGTAAGATAGATGGTGCCAGAGAGGCATGTGAAGTACACAACATTCAGAAAGAAGGCAAACATTTCACACACTAGAGACAGTGATTTTAGATCTCAAATGTATTTAATTAGTTCTTTTTGATTTGTCACAAATTATGTAGATTGTTGAAAACACATTATATCCTTCTAATGGTAATGAAAAGCAAAACCAAGTTTAGAAGAAAACTAGTAACAGGAAACCTCTCTAAAATGTACACCTCTGACAAACATGTATGTCCTTTAGAGTTATGTGAGTGAAGCTTGACTACAGTTCCTTCTACTTCAGTACACTATGAAAGAGACAGGTCATTTGTTAGCAACACCACAGGAGGTTGGTGGCACCTTAATTGGGGAGGACGGGCTCATAGTAATGTAATGGTATGGAACTCATCAAACACATGGTTTCGATTTGTTTGATACCATTCAATTCACTCCATTCCAGCCATTATTATGAGCTGTCCTCCCCTCAGCAGCATCCTGTGGCACATGATGTAATCGCTTTCATAGCATACATAAATCACCTTAAAGGAATGTGAAGGCATCACTTGTTCATAGCACCACAATGGTTTTCTCCATTCAGCTGCCAAATCAGCAAGTGCCCAAAGTTCATTGATTATGACCATGGCACTGCCGTCTATGAGTATGACGCTAGAACAATATGCCCAACTACCACTGATACATTTAGATGCAACCTACAAGCTGACAAAGGTACAGAGAGGATCCTTAGCAAGCTTTCTTTATGGTTGGTTTACGCTTTCCCACATTCTGTTTTAATTTTTCTATTCCTTAAACATCAGTGCAGAAGGATATACATTTTGGCCTTGTGAGGAACTGGCACTTGTACATTATTGGTGTCCTGTCAATTATGGTGAAGAGTACAGGGGAGAACAGCTATTGCTCCTGAAATAACACAGTGATACTTTCATTGTTTTCCAGTGAATCTACCAAGGCAGTATAATTCAACTTCCCTATTCACATTTTTTCTGTCTTGGGAGGGATTGAAAACTAAACGTAAATACAGGTCACCGACTGTAAATCATCAGGTTCACTAGATGTTCCCCCCGTCACTTTACGTTAATAGGGATATAGCTGTGTATGTCTAACAGTACTGCATAGCACCGTGGATTGGTACGGGTCTGGTTTGGGAGGAGAGTTGAAGGTCTCTAGAAACGTCTGCTGGAGCTGGTGGATGTCACGGACTTGGTGATTGTGGCACCACCACCGCTGCCGTAGCTGCTGCTGCCACCGCCGTAGCTGCTGCCGCCGCCGAAGCTGCTGCTGCCGCCGAAGCTGCTGCTGCCGCCGCCATAGCCGAATCCACCTGAGCCTGCGCTGGAGTAGTCTGGGTACAGAGAGAGAGTGGGATCTGTTTAATCTGCTGTAAAGCTAGAGGACATTCTGGTTTCATTGATGCATGTCAAGCTCGGTGTGTATTACTTAAAATAACGGAAAAGGTTCTAAAGCTGAAGTGTGAAGAGCAGACCTATGTCTTACATGGTGACACAATGAGAAATGAAATCAAAATTGTACTTACTGCCGCCAGAGCTCTGCTGCACGTGGATTGTTGCAGATGCACCACCCGAGGATATTCTGTGAACAGATAAGAGCAGTGTTAAAGAAGTTTGGATAGAAAGTTGAAAAATATGCTAAGTAGCATTGCTAACATGCTAAGCTAAGAGGCTAACATCTCAACTATCCAGCTTCCACTTTCACTCACCTGCTCTCCTCTCCCTCCAGCAGCTTCCTGTAAGTGGCGATCTCAATGTCCAGGGCCAGCTTGACGTTCATCAACTCCTGGTACTCGCGCACCTGGCGGGCCATGTCCTGCTTGGCTCTCTGGAGAGCATCCTCCAAGTCCCTGATTCGGAGCTTGGCGTCCTTCACTGCCAGCTCACCGCGCTCCTCTGCCTCAGCGATCTGAGCCTCAAGGCTGGCCCGCTGTGTTAAGAGAACATTTATTCATTTATTGTAAGCAAACCGCTCATTAGCATTAGCCTTTATCCACTGTTTAAGCAATGTTTAGCGGCTAATGGTAATATGCTAGTGTTATGAACGATCTTGCTTGGACATCAGGCATTTATGGTCAATCATCTCAAAGGAGGTTCTGTAATGAGATGGCACCCTCACCTGTCCCTTGATGGACTCAATCTCGTTCTGGAGACGAGCGATCATGCGGTTCAGCTCAGCGATCTCAGTCTTGGTTGAGCGGAGGTCCTCACCATACTGTCCAGCAGAGCTCTGCATCTCTTCATACTGAGAAAAGACAGGAGGAAATATAAGAGAATGAAAAGGAGGGCGGTAAAGATTGAGGAAGGTTGCTTATTTTACATGAACGTGTTCTGGTAAACTATGTTCATGTCTTTTGATCTTGCTCTTGAAACCTGGACTTGGCTTACCTTCTGCTTGTACCAGGTCTCGGCCTCAGCTCTGCTGCGGTTAGCGATGTCCTCGTACTGGGCGCGCACTTCAGCGACAATGGAGTCCATGTCCAGGTTACGGCTGTTGTCCATCTCCACCACCACAGAGGTGTCCTTGATCTGGCCCTGCAGCTCACGCAGCTCCTGAAGAACCAAGAGAGGATGAAAAGAAACCTTTAGATTTCAGCCCACATCTAATTCACTGACTGACACTCATGCTATCATGATGTAGTGTTGAAGCTCTCTCCAAGATTCAGATATTGAAGATCTACAGTATGTGCTGTATGGTAAATTTGAAAAGTTTATGAATGGTTCGTACCGCGTCGTAGACGGCCCTTAGGAAGTTGATCTCATCCTGAAGAGCGTCAACCTTGGCCTCCAGCTCCACCTTGTTCATGTAAGCACCATCAACATCCTGGAGAGGAAGAGAGAGGAGTTCATGGATGATGTAATACCTGTGACATGAGTTATGGCGAGACATGTTATACCCTACACACCTTCTTCAGCAGGACAAACTCGTTCTCTACTGAGGCGCGCTTGTTGATTTCATCTTCATACCTGATGACAAAACGAAGGGCAGTATTTAATGCAAAGTCATCAGTCTGGGTTGCTTCTTACACTGAGGTTAAACATAAGCTATTGCTTATACTAATACAGCTAGTTGTCGACTTTTCATGCACATCCGACATATCAACACTTACTTGTTCTTGAAGTCCTCAACCAGACCCTGCATGTTCTTCAGCTCTCCATCCAGCTTCATCTTCTCATTGCCCAGGCCGTCCAGCTGTCTGCGCAGGTTGGAGATGTAGGCCTCGAACATGGCGTCGATGTTGGAGCGGGTGGTGGTCTGGTCCTGCAGGAGGCTCCACTTGGTTTCCAGCATCTTGTTCTGCTGCTCCAGGAAACGCACCTGCAGGGACAAAAGGGAGTGAGTGAGTGAGTGAGTGAGTGAGTGAGTGAGTGAGTGAGTGAGTGAGTGAGTGAGTGAGTGAGTGAGTGAGTGAGTGAGTGAGTGAGTGAGTGAGTGAGTGAGTGAGTGAGTGAGTGAGTGAGTGAGTGAGTGAGTGAATAAATGGATGAATGTGGTCATTAATTAATGATGATGGATGATGGATGGATCCATGAATAAGGCTTCATAGACTCTACTTTACGATTGAATTGTCAGTCTTTCTCCTGAGTAGACTTCTGTAGATGTTTTAAAAAGAAGTGGAAAGAAGGGCGCTCCAAGGGTCTGGCAAAAACATAACTTCTCCTAGGTCAACCGTATAGCAGATTGCAGTAAAATCCACATATGTACCTGCATTGCTGTGTAGATAGCATCACAGGTTTGGGCTTGAACAGCCACACCCTGTCCAAGACTTTCTCGATATAAGTGATGATGACATATGATAATCTACGGGTAAACACAGAGTCTGAGAAGCCTACATCCTGGGAGGTAAAATGAAACTTAATCCCATCGATAATCTGCCCTGAGATGTGTAGCTCTCATTGTTCACCCTCAAAACAAAACAAGGCCAGCGAGACAGTGTTTATTGGCATGCCAAAGCATATCCAAACTTTCCCTGACAAGGAGTGGCTCACTGTCTGTGTATGTTGGTTTAACCCTACCTCACTGTGAGTGTTTTCCCTATCTCTCATAGCTATGAGTCATCTCTTTCGCTCTGTTTCACTCTGAAGGCCACTCATTCATTCCAGACTATGTGGGCACTCTGTCCACACGACCACACCCCGCAGGCATGCGATGGGGTGAGTCATAGAGGGAGAGACAGTCCCCACCCTTGTTTAGATAGCAGCCGAAGAGGCTGCTACAGTCACAGGACCTGACAAGGCTTCAGGCTATCTTTATTGTATCATTTTTTACTCCTGGGTGTGGTCCTTTTACAACTTTTGTGAAAGCTAAACACAAAGGGGCACAATGAGAAACAGCCTCTGCACAGTTTTTACGCTTTTTCTAATCCCAAAGGTCGTAATTCATTGACGGATTCAGCAGTAGAGATAAGATTTACAGCTCCCTTGTCTTACTATCTTTTTCTTTCTTATGCCAGAGTGTAAGATTCCTGAGGTCACAATGGGAGTTGTGACATATGTGACATAAGGGCTTTGTCAGCAGAAAAATAAACATGCCTGCATTTGGAGAGCAGCTTTCGCCAACTCTATACAGCCAAGAAATGCTATTCTGTTATATTAGCATGCTAATATGGGAGGTGAGAGCAAACGCTAACTTGTATTTGTCGTCTTTCTGGTTTACTCTATTGATTGTGATCATTGCACGGTAATACAAACTTCAAGTATCTCATCGTGTCCCGGTAGTCAATGTCAAATATCTATTTGGTTACATGACAACAGTCTGACATGGAAGCCTGCAGATGGTATAGCACTACAAGGGAGAAGCTCTATGATAGCATTCTGAACACAGGCTTTAAACTCACTTTGTTTAAGAATAATTTCAGTGCACTATAAAGTCAAAAGAACAGTGTACAGGCACTTATTTTGCGCACTACACAGTAAGGTAGCGTGCAGTTGATATCGATGTGAATGCTTAGCGTTTGAAGTGCAGGCGAGGTGAAGACACACAGGTTAACAGGAAGGAACTGACCTTATCGATGAAGGAAGCGAAGCGGTTGTTCAGTGTCTTGATCTGCTCCTTCTCATTGGTGCGGACCACCTGGATGTTGGGGTCAATCGCCAGGTTCAGGGGGGCCAGCAGGCTCTGGTTGCTTGTGACAGCTGTGATGGTGGCGCCATGGAATCCGCCGCCCATACCACCGCCATAGCCAGCGCCGAGACCACCACCGTAGCCACCTGCGCTGCTGCTGTAGTTGAAGCTGCTGCCTCCGCCCATGCCCATGCCACCACCGAACCCAGCGCCAGAACGGCGGACAGACCCGCTGCTCATCCGGGTGGATCCGGGGGCAGCCAAGGACTGGCTGGTGAAACTCTTGCGAATGGTTGTGCTGCCCCCCATGCCGCCGCCCATGCTGCTGCCGCCACTGCTGTAGCTTGTCCTGCTGAAGCTCATGGTTAAAACTTAGGGTGGTGTTGACTCTGCTTTACAAGCCTGAATTCTCAAAAGAGAGAGCGACGGAATAAGGATGAGGAGGCTTCAAAAGGAGAGTCAAGTTCCTCAAGTGACGAACTGGCTGACACCTCACTGGTTTTATCCTGCTCTAGAGTCAAGGGGAGGAGCTTTCACCTGAAACTGGGCGACCCACTTTTACCTTCACTCTCACTGTCTTTCCGCCTCGCTGCCTACTCCTCCTCCCTCTCCCTTGATTCCCTGAGGCTGTGGCTGGCAGGAGTGGCCCATCCTGTCAGACTGGTAGGGAAGGATTGAGTGGATGTAAGCCCTGACACACCCTGCTTCTGGTCAAAGGGGAGAGAGAGAGTTGTGGGGGGATTGGAGAGGTGAGAATGAGAGTAGACGAGGAGTTGGGGCCTTTTACAAGAAGTCTCTTAGAGAGACGGAATGTGCTCTAGCTTTCTGTCACAGAGCTACGAGAAAGTGAATGAAGTACAATGCAGTACAAATGCAGTGCAAATGCAGTACAAATGCAGTACAAACTTGGAGATACTTTATTGTAGTGTCACTATGTCTTCATTATGTATGGTAGACATCTTTATGTGTTTACAGAACTTAAATACTGTATAGACATAACACACCCAAATGCGCGCGCACACACACACACACACACACACACACACACACACAAACAGGTACAACAGGGGGAGCAAGAAAGGCTTGCAGAGGCTGGCACACAAGGATTTGCTTCGGGCATATGCAAATAATAAAGTGTGCACATGTCTACAGGGTTGTCAAGTTCAAACTCCGGGAGGACAGTCTTACATATGAATGAATTATGTAACTTCAGTTCACCACACCCAGTGGATGATTTCATAGACAGACGAGTTGATGCCTTTTTAACCTACAGTATTGACATTTCAATAGAAAGAAAGAAAGATCAAGTCATGCAAAAACATCTGACAGGGTGTGGTTTCTGTCCATTGTGGCGATCCTGTGATTGCAGCCAGTCAGAGCTGTGCTCTGGTGACTGGGATGTTCTTGCCCAGTGACACACACAGGGGAGAGGGTGCAAGGGTGAGTTTGGGCAGGCTAAGGTAGAGATGGGCTTGACCTTCCAAGGAATCAAATCATGCAATTCAAGTGTTGTGCGTAGGACCTGTTTTTTGTACTGTAATAAAGTAATCTGCAGGAGTAATAGTCTGTGTGTGTCTGTGTGTGTGTGTGTGTGTGTGTGTGTTTTACAGTGTGTCTGTTTGTATGGGTATTTACTGTATGTTTGCTTGCGTGTAGGCCTACTGTAGATTCAGTATACACAGTAGGATAATGTACAGTCACAGTAGCATATTAGCCTCCCATGATACTGGATAAGTGATTCAAAATGTTTAAGTCAGTCTGGCATCAGTCTTGTCACGCAAATATGTTGTTTGTGAAGTTTTACGGATGCTGGTTTCAGGGTTTGGTTACTGATAACTGCAATATGCGTTCTTTTGAAGTCTCTCTTTTATACCTCAATTGAAAATACCTAAACAAATATGATTAGGTATATCATACAATCAAATGAAATCTATAATAGAATGTGCAAATGTTTTGTCATAAGGGTGGCATTTAAACAACCAGCCTCCAACTGTGCTAATTTCTAATTTTGAAAATCAAAAAAATTACAGTAAACCTAGCAAACACAAAAGTAGGCATAATCTAGTCTGGGATATGTAGTCAGCGTGTGTTTCGTATAAAAAAATTAGTTGAACCTGTACATGTACGGGTATGTGAGCTGGTGTTCATGTAGGTTTGCATGTTGGTGTGTCTAACAAGCTAAATGTGTCACTCAATTATGCCCTTTCTCTCCTCTGGTATGTACCAACTTCATGGCCTAGGTGTTGACACAGAGTGACACATAAGTCTCTGCCTGTTTGTTTCTCTGACAGTCAGTAACCCCAAGCATTTCCTGACCTTTTCTGAATGGTGGTGTTTAGCTTCAGTGCATTACAGCTATGGTGCCTTAATACCATCCTGAGCCGATTGAAATGTCAATACTGCAGGTTAAAAATGGGATGCAGTCCATTATCCCATCAGGGGTTAGTAATGTGATAATAATAGGTGTATCAATGGGATGTAGTAGCATTGCATTACAAAAATGAAGTAGGTTTGGCCTGTTTTAGTAATAACGTTTAGACGTATGTCGACTTCTGTGTTATAGCAGTCTCAAATGATTGGAATATTGGATTTCCGTATATTTCTGCATCAAGTAATCCTGGGACCTTTTGCAAGATATTGAATACAAAACAGAACAAGAGCTACCACACTAATAAATAATCAACAATAATCATTGACAATCAAGAGCCTTTGCTTCAATGATCAAAACAAAAAGGTATCTGCCTGCAATGAAATCGGGAGCATCTTTAAGGACCAAATGCTGACATCCTATCACATTGGTTTGGCATATTTTACTTTCAGAATAACTGGTTGCTATTTCATAATTATTTGGAATAGAAAGCTGTTCAATCTGTGTGCTGCTTCCCATACTAAGGTAGTACATTGTAAAACTACCCCTAATTCAATCCCTGTTGCTTTAGTCCCTTAAGACAAAATAGGTTATCTTCCATACAAATAAATCACCACCCTGAAAACAACCTCATTATTGGTTTCTCGTCACATAAATGTATTTTTTAAGTGTTTCACTTAAGTGGAATTGGCTTGGAGACAAAACTTGAGTGTGTACAACTAGTCAAACTGCTCATTCTTTCCAAGAGCCAGGGCAAGTAACCCAGTATGCTGTAGCCAGCAGTTTTTCATTCTCACTGTAATTTATGCTTAATTTTTACAATTATCATTGTCTACATCCAACAATGATAATCTATCACAGGCAGTGGTCTTGAATCCTAGTCCTGGTGAGTACCAGGGTATGCAGTTTTTTCTCCAACCCAGTACTTGCACACCTGACTCAACTAATTAAGGGTTTTATGAGTAGGTGATAAGTGTAATCAGATGTGTTAGTACAGATGTAGGATGTTAATTTGACCTATATTGTCACAGCAAAATAATCCTGCAGCAACAGGATTTGAATGTTCAGTCCCTACGTTTTCTAGGTCTTTTTTTATATCGAGGAATATTTAACTTTCTCTGTTCATAGCTGTAACAACATGAATTTGTACATGAGACAGAAATAATGCGGTGAGACTCGAGTTTCGCCATCAGCTGGAAGACGGTGTCCCTTTTGGTCAGTGTCAGTGGAAGAAAGGGAGAGCAGAGGGATGTTGAGAGGCGGACCCTCAGTCTGCTGTTCTCTCCCTCCGCTGAGACTGACCATCAGATGCAGGCACCACCAGCCCAGTAAAATTAAAATTGAAAGCAAATTATTTAAATGTATGCTCACTCAGCTGTGCCTCAAAAGTAATACAACAACGGCTCAATTACCGGTGTGATCATATAGCCTACCTCAAATTTTGAAATATAATTTTAAAAAATGTCCAGAACAACAATGCATTGGCAGGGCAATTCAAGCAAAGCCAATATGCAGTGATAATGTATTGGGCCTATAGCTTACTGCACAAACCTCATTGCTACAGTACTGTTTTTAATTGGTTAATGTTGCATAGGCTTACGTTTCTTAAGTCATGTAGAAAAAGTGGTTTCTTGCATCAAACAACACAACAACATTTTCAGTCACCTCCTTGTCTGAAGGACAAGTAGATAAACAGGTTAATGTCAAGCCCTGCATGTTTTTTTCAAAAGTCTCATGAAAAGTAGGCCTACATTGAACACCACACATTGGCTGCTACTGTAGGCTGAATGATAGAACCGCTATTTCCATGTTACAATGTTTTTGATGGTAGGCCACTGGTAGGCCTACATTATGATCAAATAGCCACAGTAGCCTATTTGGCCACTGTTAAAACTGTAACTTAAAAGTGGGTACAGTCTCAGTGTTTACAGTAAACGTGCGCTGGAAGTTGCACAGAATTTTCACAACGTTGAAGTTTGCGCTCAGCAGCTCAAGTTTTCTCAGTGCGGGAAAAATATTAGTTGGAACATTGCTTACATCTGTACCTCACAGGAACACACCCTGTGGGTCCTCAGGACCAAGATTAACGAACGCTTAGTTAGAGGCCCAAAATGTTTCAATTACTCATGCCCTGTGCAGAAACAAGTCCAAGTCCCTAACCCATTGGCACTTGGAAAGATGGTGAAAATCAGTAGCATACTCAGAAGACAAGGTTGATACATTTTGAGTCCTCTGGTTTACAGAAAAAGGCCACATCAACTGCCATTTTCCAAATAGCACTCCTTTACTGTTAAGCAAAACGGATTTCTTATCATATCAGGACATTTCACAATGTACCATTTACAATGGCTGTGTACTGGTGTAGTTTGAGTAAGGAGTACGGCGGAGCCCTCAGCCTGCAAATCTCAATCTAACCAACAATATAGTACAATAAAGTAAAAAACCACCCAACGTACTTGATCTGATTGAAAATAAATCACACCATTAATTGAGAATGGGCATTAAAAGCCAACAAAGAGAGTTTGAACCCTTGTGTGTTCAAACACACCCCTTTGTGCTTTCTTTGGCTTTGCCCTGTGGTTGTGGGTGTGTTTCTGCGGGGGAGTTTTGTGAACTGGTTTCACTGTGGAAGTCATACGGGCACCACATGTAGAGGTACACACCCTCGCACATCACCATGTTGAGCGTTTCACTCAGCACCGTGATAGCACAAGCTATAACAGATCGAGGGAATGCTGTTGAACTACACTCCAGTACATGGCTATCCTGAGTAGCAGCATGGCAATATGCAAGAAGGTGGAAACTTGAAAAAGCATCTGGCAAGTGTGTGTGTGTGTGCATGTGCACATGCATGTGTGTGTGGATGCATGTTTGTGTGTGTGTGCATGAACTCTAGTGCCTGCTAATGCCATGGCACGTTTGTGATGGGAATCAATGAGAAATGGCTTTGTGTGCTCATTCACCTTATCACTGTGGTATTATTGTGTCTCATCCC